ATATATATATATGAGAGAGTTTGTATTGTTTGTATTCATACCATAATTCAAAAAGTCAGATACTTTATCACTCAGTGGGTTGTAAATATCCCAGGTTGTTTTAATTGAACTCAGACTGTTCCACTCATAAACACATAGGTCTGGTTGGTCACTTACAAACTCTGCCCGCCCTCTTAATTTGACTGCTTTTTTACATAAGGAAACTCTCCTTCCTCATTCACTGTGTGAAGTACATAAAATTACTCTTATTGTTTTCACTCATTCATTTACAAAATCTTCTTTTTTGATGCTGCCTTTAAGGGTCGTCACAGCAGACCATCTGGCTCCATCTCACCCTACCCCCAGCATCCTCCTCTGTTAGCCTGACCTTCTGCGTGACCTCCTTCACTACATCTATAACCTCCTCTGGGGATTTTCTATTTTTCTCCTTCCTGGCAGATTTATATTCACTATCCCACTATCCCTCTTCTGCTAACCATCTGAGCCTTGCGTCTCTAACTTTGCCTCCACCCCGAGCTGTTCCACTGATATACGTGTTTTTTAATCCTGCCCGTCCTGGTCTCTACCAATGAAAACGTTAACATCCTTAACTCTGCCACCTCCAGCGCCACCTTCTGTCTTTATGTTAGTGTCACCATCTCCAAATCACACATCACAGCATCATAGCAGGTCTCACTACCTCGTGTACACCATCCCTATTTTCAAAGTCAGGATCCTTACTTACACATGATTCACCCGCACAACACTATTCACAAATTCTTCCTTCAAGATTACCATCAAATTACAAAATAATACTATGTATTGCTTAAACATTTGGTAAATATATGTTACATTCTTTGTTGTAGTGCTCCTTTATTAAACGTTACTTGAAAATGCTTTTATTCTGGAATGCTTTTATTGTGATGTCCAAACAGACCGGAAGAGTTTGGTGTATTTTCAGCTGGCGGAACAAAGTTGCGTGCTTATGTGCAGTGGAGGAGGGTTGTGTTCAGGTCTGCGAAGGTATTAGCGAGTATCCTGTCAACAAAGTCACACGGAGTGCAATTTGTGACTTTTACTAAATGGACATTTCTTGACAGAGGCTTCCTTAGCTCGAGGGAAACGGTGAGTTTTGTTTAACAGTTGTAAATTATCACCAAAGCGCTGCAAATGTTAACGTTATATAAAGTGGATGTTTTGTTTAGCTAGCAAGGTAACGCCAGTACGCTAACGCCAGCTTCTTGATGAACGACAGGTCTCTCAAAGGCCCTGTGCACGGATCGTTAACCATTCTCGTAGGCTAATGGGGCTTTAGATTTTAAATAATTGTTAGTTTTTTGCAAAACTGTCAGTTGTTGTATTCCCAGAGCTACGTTGCTAACATTAGCCTGGTTAGCTAATGAAGTCGCTTTGTAGGTAACGGGAGCAAATGCTATCTGTAGACCAGCTAGCGGTATGTTTTGTGCCTATGTCAGATGAGCAACAAAAAATCTCTGAATAAATCACATGCCTGAGTTTAATGTCGACTTTTTCCTTTTTCTGTTTAAAGCTGATATTGACGCTATACCGGTGTAAAGTCTCTGTCTTCTAACAAGTCTCTGCTCTGCCTTAATCCATTCTGCGTTTTTACAGCTTGGTCACAAGGAAAAAAAGAGTAAATGACACCTGATCTCTGACCCTTGGAAACCTCCAGCCTCGAAACCAAATTTATGTTTTGCGGTGAGGCCATGACTACTGCCAACATCTCCAGAGATATCCTGCACAGGCAGATCAGGGTATGTAAGAACAGTCCAGAGCCAGTGTGATCATCCCCGTCTCATGGAGAGTCTGATGGAGATGTGCTCTTTTGTCTTTAGGACAAGAGAGCTGCAAGCTTCCAAAGGTTCTACCATGTGACTGACCCCTTCATCAAGAGACTTGGACTGGAGGCTGAGCTTCAGGTCACTGATAACATGACATATTTCTCTGTAAACACATTGGGACACTTTTTTTTTCTTTTGTTCTCTTCGTCTGACCCTCAATGTCATTTATTTCAACAGGGCCACACAGGCTGTGTGAACTGTTTGGAGTGGAACGAACGTGGAGAGTAAGTGATCAAACCCTGTGAACCCTGTATGTACAGTGAATTTCTGTTGTATCTGTCCAGATAAGGTTTGCATCCTGTTCACTTCCTGCTTGGATTTTAAATGTCACAGTTTTACTATTAGTGTTGGGTCTAACGTGTTGCAAAGTAATAATATAATCACATTATATCTTATTTTAGTAATTTAATGCGTTACTCACTAATTACAATACAGTAATTATTGTAATTAGTGAGTAACGCACTAATTACAATAATTAGTGCGTTGTTACTTGAATTACAAAGGCTCTTCAGTTATCTGAGCAACTGGCTGCTAGAAAGAAGAAAACTTTTTTTAAATGCTTTTAAAGAGCAGAAATATGGTTATTACTTTTATTTTTATTGCACCAAAGGACAAGAGTGCCATGATGACATGCAAACTGCATGTAGGACAGAAACATCTGCATTATACACAAAGCTAGACAAGAAACCCAGAATAATGTCAAAGTTTATTGTAACTCGATCCCAGCCCAGCAGCCAAAGCCTGAACTTTAAAAGGCAGTGATGTGTAGTCAGGCTTGCAGACTCCATTTCTACCTGTACATATTTTTGCAGTAGAATCACTGTGGCGATAGCTTTGAAGACCCTTTCAACTTTGTTTTGTGTTGTTGACTTTGTTTTCATATGTGAAAACTAAAAGAAAGATTGTATTTGTGTCCTCATTAGGGTGGGGTTTTGTGTTGGGGTGTGGAACTGTAACCTCAGTTTTATATTAGTTGCCTGGTAATTAAGTATGTGACAGTGTGTTTCAGTAATTTTATGTACTACATACATTTTAAGAAAAGTAACCAGTAATGTTTAATACATTACTTTTTTCCTAGTAACAACCCCAACATTGTCTACTAGTTAGTAAAAGTAGTCTCACTCGCCATGTTTATCAGTGGTGTGAGTCTGCTTCTTTCGTAATCTGACACCTTCAGCACACCAGGAGGGATCAGTTTAACATAAAGATATTGCATCCATTCTAAAGTCAATCTAACAACACAGGTCCAACTGCTTATTAGTTAGTTCTAATACCTGTAATATAACACGTAAATGTAATAAATCAACAAAAAAAAGGTGCATACCTTAAAGAAATGCTGCTTGGCTTCTTTGAATTGTTATTATTTTTTTCCTCGTACTCAGTCTGCTGGCTTCAGGCTCGGATGATCAACATGCCATCATCTGGGATCCATTCAGGCACAAGAAGCTAACAACTATGCACACAGGTCATGCAGCTAACATATTCTCTGTAAAGGTAAGGAGAACACATTCTACAGTGTACTGGATGGTGCCTGAGCTTAGAAACATATTAATACTGCAGTCATTGCACAATTGAGGCTGCCTTGTTGCTCTTCCTCAAGGTTAATTACGAAAATATGGCAGAGAATAATTTTCGCTGTGATGTGCAGTAGGGCTGGGCCTTATCATACCGTTCACGGTAATACCGGTACAATGTTAAGCAATGATAAGAAACTGAAGTATCGCGATAGAATATGGGTAAAATGTGCATACGCAGTGCCTTTGTTTCCATACGCACATGGTGGAAAAAGCATGGCGGTGACGGAGAATGAGAAGAATCGTTGAATGAAACAGATGAACCAGAATTGGTTTGTAAAAATGCTGCAACTTCAGTGGTGTGGAACTGGTTTAGCTTTCGTCCGTCAGATACACACCACGTTGTTATTACTGTTATTACTATTATTACCGAACCGATGTTATGTGGTACACGGCGCTCAAAAATCTGTCAAAAATGTTTTAGTACGACTTTGCTAAGCTGTGAAGCCGCACCGCTTTATGGATTGTCGGAGCATTATGGCCACTGTAGTCGGGAACCTCGCAGAGTAATACGTACTGTGCTTCAACATAATATTACTGTATTGTGTGTGTATAACCTCTTTTTAAGTTTTGTGGATATTATGCATGTTATGCTCAGGATCTGTTGGCCAATTTCCACTGGAAATGCCTTTTGGTTAAACTGTCAGAAAGGAATTTGCAGCTGCGAGAGAATTCAGCATTAATGAATCAATGTTACGGAAGTGGAGGAAGCGCAGTTTTTGGCTTTCCCCATATTTCAAAAGTGCTTCATCTCTTTGCTATGACTGTCGCCCGGCATAATTTGCAGATGATAATGGTTGCAGCCGCTACGACGCTTTCGGTCAAAACAGGCGCAGCTTGATGACATCATCAACATGCGCTATCGTGGTATAGTCAAAATCTCTAACGTTGGCCAAATTTATATCATTTCTATCGTATATCATATATCGTTTATATTGCCCACCCCTATATATATATATTTCCCTTTTTTCCTACTTGTGATGAACTCCACTGGTGTTCTCTTTCCTGTTCATTTTGCACACTTTTGTGGAGAACTGCAGCAAGTGTGCCTCTGCACCCTCAGTGTTGGTTGAATTCCCATAATCCTCTTCTCTGTGTAGCCATACAACTATGTAAATGGATACAAACATTGGACTATGAATTCAGCTTAAGAAGTCTTTGTAAATGTCATAACAATGTCCTGTGTGTGACTATTGACATTTATATCACCATTTATTTCAAAGCTAAGCCTTTCTCAAACATTGTGTGTGTATACTTAGTGGGGATGCGCTGTTTGTAAGATTTTGGGTCAGTGCCAGTGTTTACAGCTCAGGTTTTCAACAAATTGATCTTCATTATTATTAATTACCTCCTATTTTAAAGTATTTTATAAAGTATATTATTTGGTACTTTTAAGTGAGTACAGAATCAAACACAGTCCTCATATCTGTCTCAGATGTGAGGACTATTAAACCAAACATGCCCTATAGATGATCGTTGGACTCTGTCAGCTTATTTACTAATCAGCTGGTCGCCTGATGTCAACAGTGCCAATATGAGCCAATAAAGTGTTGCATCTCAGTTCTTATCAGTTCACTTTGGTATTTTTATTTGTCCATGCAGTTCTTGCCTCACTCCGGGGACAGAATTTTGGTAACGGGTGCAGCCGACACAAAAGTCCACGTGCATGACCTGACAGTGAAGGAAACCATCCATATGTTTTCTGATCATACAAACAGAGTTAAACGCATAGCCACAGCACCCATGTGGCCCAACACCTTCTGGAGTGCTGCGGAGGACGGCATCATCAGGTTAGACTAAAGAGATCAATAATGTATTAAAGTCAAATGTTATATTGGTAGTGGGTGTCTGTGAAGGTTCTCAGTCATCCAGGTCATCGTAGTCTAAGGAGCTTGGAAAGAAAAGCATCTGGACTTCTTTAAGTTGCTTGAAGACGTTTCACCTCTCATCCGAGAAGCTTCTTCAGTTCTAAGAGTTAAAAGGTGGAGAGTCCCAGATTTAAACCCAGTGGGAGTTTCCCCCCAAAGAGGGACAAAGGACCCCCTGATGATCCTCTACCTAATCACATGAGCCAAGGTGTGAAAACAGGTGTGGGTCACAATCAGCCAGGGTTACGGGTGAGCTCATTGTGGGGCCAAACTGTCAGCAAGGAATTTGCATTTACACAGTTAAATTTTTATATAGCTTTAATGCACATAAAAACTGCTGCTTGTTGAAGTCAAAATGCATTGATGGGGGTTCTTTTTCCACTAATAAAGTTGTGGAGTTGTAAAGTATTTTGTCTCACGTCAATTATATCTTCAGTTATATCGTTATCGCAAATTTTCAAATATATATCGTGATAAATATTTTTGGCCATATTGCCCAGCCTTAATCTGCAGTGTGATCAAAGCTCACAGCATGTTGGTGCATTCGTAGCCTGCAGGTTTGTAGACCCACATCTACATGTTGTAGCTGTTTACGGTCACTTGGGGTCAGTGTTAGAAATATGTGGGACAATGAGTGTGTTGTGTGGATCAATCTTGTTTGTTTCTGCTTTTCTTTTTTTTTTAGCTAAGTACCTACTGTGAAGAGAAAAAAAAATCTTTGTAATGGTGTAAAAACCTCTTTTTAAAAACTTCTCGGATGGGAGGTGAAACGTCTTCAAGCAACTTAAAGAAGTCCAGACGCTTTTCTTCCCAAGCTCCTTAGACTTGGTAGTGGGTGGTTTTGCCAAGGTAATATGTGCATGTTGTCCTTGTTCACTGCAGACAATACGACCTGAGGGAGAACAGTAAACACTCGGAGGTGCTGATCGATCTCACAGAGTTCTGTGGTCAGCTCGTCGAGGCCAAATGTTTAGCTGTTAACCCACGGGACAACAACTACCTGGCTGTGGGAGCCAATGGGCCTTTTGTACGTCTGTACGACATCAGGATGATACACAACTACAGGTGAGTTTGGCTTTTTCATGCTATTCTGTGGTAGTGAGTACTCGGCAAACTGTCAAATAAAGCGCTTTGTAGTTACTCTGTGGTGCGTTCCAAGTTTTGACAAGGAAGTTCCGAACTTCTTTTTTTTTTGTTCCTCACACAGGAAATCTCTGAGTCAAAGCACATCGGCAGCTGTGCACACATTCTGTGAAAGGCAGAAGCCCATCCCAGATGGAGCTGGGCAGTATTATGTTGCAGGTGTGTATACAGATAAATTGTCTGGAGTCAAATTCTTTTAATGGTTGCATTTATATTCTGGACTGTGGTTTAATACCATTACCATCTGACTGAATGTTTCAGGTCACCTGCCGGTGAAACTCCCTGACTACAATAACCGCCTGAGGGTCCTGGTTGCCACCTATGTTACTTTCAGTCCTGATGGCACCGAGCTGCTTGTTAACATGGGCGGGGAACAGGTAATGCATCACCAAACAGAGAGGGAACCATGTGAGAATCGCATAGGCATTCTTATGGGATCCTTTTACTATCTCTTTATGGTTCTTGCAGGTGTATCTGTTTGACTTGACGTTCAAACAGAGGCCATATACATTCTTGCTTCCAAAGAAATGCCAATCGTCAACAGGTAGATAATAAACAGAGTTTCACACTAACTCCAAAGTACGTGAAGAATGCCGATTATTGAATCTCTCGCTTTCCAGGAGATGTGCAGAATGGAAAGACGACAAACGGCGTCTCCAATGGAATTCACCTGCCAGCTGGCCACATTCGCTTTACTGGGAGCAAAATGCAGTCTAGGTAAACGTCGGCTCTTTCCACTACACGTCTATTGACTGAGGTTATACATTTGAATTTATGTCAAAATATCTGCTTTTCCCTTTTGTCTTTCAGTTCTAATGACCTCCCTCCTCACCTGGAGAAGATAAAACAACAAGCTAATGATGCTTTTGCACGGCAGCAGTGGACACAGGCCATCCAGCTGTACAGTTTAGGCATTCATCAGGCGAGCAGCAACGCCATGTTGTACGGGAACAGAGCTGCGGCCTATATGAAACGCAAGTGGTACGCGGCGTTGCTTTAGTGCAGAGGAATGATGCTTTTTTTTAATTCCAAAACCTTTGGAAACCCTGAGTCTTTATGTTTTTCTATGTGATTCTTAGGGATGGAGACCATTATGATGCCCTCAGGGACTGTCTGAAGGCTCTGAGTCTAAACCCCGGTCATCTGAAAGCACATTTCAGGCTGGCACGGTGTCTGTTTGAGCTAAAATATGTGGCTGAGGCTCTGGAGTGTCTGGACGATTTCAAAGCGAAGTTTCCAGAGCAGGCGCACAGCAGTGCCTGTGATGCCTTAGATAAAGACATCAAGGCTGCTCTTTACTCCAAGTCAGAATCAGGTGGGAAAGAAAGAAATAGCTCTTGGCTAATTTTCAGTAACTCTCAGAGAATTTACACAGATCTAGAAAAAAACATTTATATCACACTTCATTGGATAATTGCCATTATTTACAATGATTGTATGCTCACTAAAAAACCTGCTTTGTAGTACATGCCATTTCTTTGTGTATATTTTAGTTTTAAAATCTGTGTGAATTACAGTAAAAAAAAAGTTTTTTCTATAACTGCAGAAGACAAAAAGGCCAACAGCTCCATCCGATTCCACTCATTCAGTCGGAAAGAGTCCATTCCTGAAGATGAGCTGGAGCTGAGAGAGCGCAGCTTCGACTACAAACACAGATACTGCGGTCACTGTAACACCACCACTGACATCAAAGAAGCCAACTTTTTTGGAAGGTGGGTTAATCTCGTTGCCAGGCCGCTGTGTCATCACTAGGGGGCAGTCGTGAGCTTTGAAATGTAACGTGATCTTTATCTAAATGACACACTGTGCTCAAGCGATTATAAATAAAGCCGAGCCTTTACACATTAACACTGTTGCACTCAGTAACTAGTCAAACCTCTTTTGCAGCAAAATGCTCAAACAGCTTTGAAAGTAGCTGCACAGGAGTAAAGTGTTCTTTATTACAAAGCTGTGGAATCTCAGCCATATTTTTAGCATGTGTGAGCAGCTTTTGGGGGCTGATTAACAGCTTCTTTGTTTGATTACTATTTGGCCTTTTTTATTTTAACATAATTTTGTTCTATTAGTTTTACACAATCAACAGTACCTCAATCTAAACAAGTTGTTTAGTTTCTTTAGAGTCGGTCGTACTTTTAGATGTTGGCCTATGAAGCAGTTGTTTGTTTTTGCTGTTCAAAAGTGTGACTAAATCGTCTGCTTCCCATGACGTTATAACAGTCAGAATATATTCTAATCAACACCAACTCACGCTGTGGCTCATTTAGTTTACCTTTAAATAAACACAAATCTTTATGATGTGTTTGATTAGTGATTGCAGTTCCAACAGCTTAACGAGACTGGTTTTTGATACCATGGGCCAAAGGAGGTACTGTATGCTGAGTGACGGTAGAAAATGGCACGCTGCTGTTGCTTAACCTTCACCTCAGCTGTTCTCAGTACTGTACACATCTGCGCAGTGAAGTTGACATTCTATGAAAGAAGTTCAATGTAAAACGATTGCACAATTTTCCGAGTAAATATTTAAATTCCCTGTAAAAGGTTTGTGTCCCAGGAACATGGCTCATCAGGCAGGTCTGAATGGATTCTTTTTCTCCACAGCAAAGGCCAGTATATTGTAAGCGGCTCAGACGATGGCTCTTTCTTTATCTGGGAAAAAGAAACAACCAATCTTGTGAGGATCCTGCAGGGGGATGAGTCCATAGTCAACTGCCTACAGCCGCACCCCAGCTACTGCTTCCTGGCTACTAGCGGTATCGACCCTGTCGTTCGGTTATGGAACCCCAGGCCAGAGGTAAACAGAGGAAACTCCTCTATGCGCAGACTTGGCAGACTTGGTCTTGACATGCTTTGGGAGTGTGTTAAGGAGATGCCATTCATTAAAAAGATGTGTCATGCTGTTGGAATTATATTTGATCACTTCTTTTGTTTTTTTTTCTTTTTAAATACCGCAGACAGACAGCGAAAACGGGCGTGTGGTGGAAGACATGGAGGGTGCTGCTCAGGCTAATCAGCGGCGCATGAACGCGGATCCGCTGGAGGTCATGCTGCTTAACATGGGCTATCGCATCACAGGCCTGCGCGGTGTCGGTCCAGATGGTTCAGACGATGAAGACAGCTCAGAGGGACAAGTACAGTGCAGGCCCAGCTAAGCAAATAGTCATCTGTTCTGCAGAATGGATTTTAGGAAGCAAAGCACTCTACTAGCTCCTGTTTGAATCTGAAATCCCCTCGCCCTCCTCCCCAGCCCCGTCTGACAGAACATTGAGTGAATGTCGTGTCACATCTCTGCACTATGCATCACCCTCCCCTGTCCTGTGAGAGGACTGGTGGAGACCACTTTTGGGGGGAGAGGAATTCATGGAGGGTTGCGACAGCACCCTTCCACCCCTTCGAAGCACCTACAACACCTCAGCCCGTCCCTCCCTCCACCCTGCGGTGGCAGTGGGATGACTTTGAGGAGAGCACCTTCAAACTTCACTCCCCCACTTTCTCACAAAGAAGGAGGAGTTCAGCACGCATCGCTCCTCAGGTTTATGTCGGAGAGGCGCGTATCTGGTGACCTATTTTCAGGTCGGCGTGTGGCCGCGCGGTCAGAATAAGATCTCTGACCCGAAAACGGTGTATTTGTTACAACTCCTGTCTGCTCGGCAGACGGAGCAAAGCGTCACAGTACCCACTCATCTCGGAAAGGTTGCACACCCAAGTTATTTAAGTTAGCCTCAATCCAATTTTCCGTTGGAGTTTTGGCCACTGGAAGGCTAGAATTAACTCGCTCTTTAAGTTGTGAACGCTGCCAGAGTTGCTCTACTGAAATGTATTTATATGCTTTTTTAGTTTACAACTGTCAGGAGGAAGAAGAAAAAAAAACAAGGGGTTCTTCTGCCAAAGGTTGCCATCTGTCACGTAAACAGCCAAGGATTAATGTTAGACTTCTTTGTTTCATTGAAACATAACTTTGGCTCCTTTTAGTTAAGAGGTTTTTCTTACAATAGATTATTGACAGGTCAAAGAAAGCAGCTTTCTAATACAATTTTTTTCTTCTTCTTCTAGTCCTGTTGATTACACATCATTTGAGATGAAGTGTCAATGTCATTTTTTGGGGGGAGGGGGCAGCGTTAGGGTTCCTGCCTACTAGCTGCGTGGCTCTAGCATTAGTCCTCTGCTGCAGCCAGGTGTTCAGTCCTGCTTGCATGAGGCTTCTCTGAGCATAGATGCAGGGCAATAAAAGAGCACAGTGCTCGCTGGGTCTTCTTTACCCTTAGATAGGGTAAATGTTCATGAATGGAGTCCTCAGCTACATGCATCACTAAGGCTTCCATTCGTTTTCATTTGTTCATTAATTTGAGATGCTCTGTTTTCTTTGAGGAATCCTGTAAGACCTTTGTGGCAAACAGAACAAAGAATAAAAATTATTGAACACCACCTCAGTATCCTTTTGATTCATTGTTTGTTTCATCTGTTTGCCCTTTTTAGCTTGGCGGTTACACAACGCGTACAGTAGCATTTAGTTTTATCTAGGTTAGGAGGATCCCCGTTCGTCAGTGTCCGCACTTTTTGCTGACAGGCAACAAATGCGAGCACTGTACATCACAAGCAAGTTAAGTGAGCATCTCATGCCCCCGTATGCTGCGCAGTAATGAGGTGACCCATCTGTGGGAGAAGTTACTGCAGGTAACTCTGTAGCAACAACGCTGGGCTGGAAAAGCAAGTGTTTTGCAGATGTTTCATTGATGTGGTGAATTAATCGCAGAACCACAAAGCAGTCAGTTTTACAGTGAAATGAGACCATTATGCATGTATTTAGAGACTATCGCAATACAAGAAAACGACAAAAAAATAATAATAATTTTTTAGATTTGTTAAAGAGGTAAACTGCTAGGGCGCTGCAGCTAACATTAAATCCCTCCTCGCTGACCGTAAAGGCCTTAATCGACGAACAGATGGCCCGTGCTGCGTTCACGGACCGACGGTTGGAGGAGGTGGCTGCGTACCTCCGCTGCTGTGCGTCACTGCCGTTCATCTCCTTCTGTCACTCCAGGCTGTGATGGCGGAGGCAAACGATACCGACGTAATGATGAGCTACCACGGTGATTTCCCAAAAAACGACAGAAAAAGCAGCCGCTACCCTTTCTGCATTGTCTGGACACCCATTCCCATTTTAACGTAAGAGGCTACTGCAGTATTGATGCTCCTGTACTGTGGCAGCAGATGAAACGAAGCTATGTTTATCTTATCCGCTAATACTGTTTCCTTTTAATGGTATTGCGTTAACTGTTTTGCTGGACATTCAGACGTACAGTAATTGCCTCGTGTGTTATTTGCGTGCGTCCTGCAGGTGGGTGCTCCCCTTCATCGGTCACATGGGCATATGCACTTCTGCTGGAGTCATACGAGATTTCGCAGGGTCATATTTTGTCTCGGTGAGCACTGCTTTTGCATCGAGTTTATCACATCACCGAATAGAGACTGATGTTAAAGTGCTAGACCTTCTCAATAGGAGTCTCAAGGATAGATTCGCATTAGCGATGGGAAGCAATTTGAATATGGTACTGGTATTGGATCAGTACTACTGTGTTATAAACTGTGTTCAGATTTAGTCTTTTTCTACCTTTATAAGTTTAAAGTATCAGTGTCGGTGTTGGTGTTGTCAATACTGGCCCTGTATTTACTTGGTATTGGATCATGCAAAATTTGCATGATCGTACAGCACTAATTCACATGCATGATTTCCGCTCTTTCCAGGAGGATAACATGGGGTTTGGTAGACCCACAAAGTAAGTTTATTGATGATATTATTGTCTTTTAACAAGTAGGGGGGGAGCAGAGATAACGCATTAAAGGTAACTCACTGTTTTCTTTTAAAATAATACTTCAGGTATTGGAAGCTTGATGTGGATAAAGTGTGTGGTAATGGTGCAGCTACATGGGACAAAGCTGTGCACGATGCATCAGAGGAGTACAAATGCAGGCCGGTAAGATTGTTGTATTTAGCATTCTCTTATGAATTAATTAACACATTTCTGGATTGTGTTTATGGAAGGCCTTCAGTGCCAAAATGAATTAAGTGTTTGATTAATTACTTACAATTAAAATATATTTTTAAATATGTAATAATATTTAATTATAGTTTTCATTAATTAATTATATAATGATGTATTTAATTAATTCATTTTGACACTAGTGACCCTCCTTGCACATTAGTGATTTAATAATAAATACTTATTTATTTACTTTTTGTTGAAGCACAATCTGTGCTTTGATAACTGCCATTCCCACGTTGCCATGGCCCTCAACCTGATGCGCTACGACAACAGCACATCCTGGAACATGGTGAACCTGTGTGTGCTGTCTCTCACTCACGGGAAACACGTAAGGTAAATATTTTGGCCACTTATTCCAGCACTGCAGGAATAAAACACATGTATGAATGATAAGAGCGGCTAGAGACAGATCACTGTTCACACTCTCATTCCTGCTACAGCCTAACCCAACATGCATGTCTTCGGACTGTGGGAGGGAGTCTGAGTACCCAGAGAGAACATATGTACTCTACAAAGAAAGGCCCCTGTTGGTGGGTGGAGCAACAGTGCTAGACACTGCCCCGCCCTCCCGCCACTAATACCACATGCTACCATTTAGAGTCATCCAAGGAAACCTGGAAACCAAAAATGAACGGGCGTGATCTTTCGGCTTGGTTAACTTTCACATTTGTCAAGCTATTATTAATGCTGAAAGATTTATACAGGTTATGTTTTTTAGTAACATTGTGCAATACAGAAGACACTCTGCACATGCTGCAACAGCATCACTTCGCAGTAAAAGAACCCAGCTGCGAAACTCGTCTGCCTGCAGTCCAAACATGCCACCCTGCAGACAATATTTAGCGTATTTTTAGGGCCCTTAACTGTTGCACAGGTGAAATCCTCTATAAAACTTTCAAAAGTTATCAGCTGATCTCCTCAGCTCCCAAACCCTTACACAGTGTTGCTAAAAGAAGAAATGAGGCAACACGGAGGGAATCATACCCTATCCCACCTCTTTTGAAACATCTAGTTAGAATCAAATTGAGCACGAGCTATTTATATTGTAAGTTTTATTTATATTTTACACAATGTCGCATCTTTTCTGGAAACGGGTTGTATAAAATTAATGATTAATTTGCTAGTGTTTATATCTCGAGCTATGCTTCACATTCACTGGGCAAATCTTTCAGTTTGGTTTTTCTCCCTGGTTTTGTACATCAGGAGCAATTCTGGCTTTCAAATGTGTGAGTCAAGGGCACTTAAACCTTTTAACACAAGCTCTTTGCCTACCCACTCTACCACTTGACATGTAGTAGCCCCACCGGTGTTTATCTGCAATAAATCCTCTATTGTAAACAGGAAAATTTAAGTTCAAGTCATACTGGTTTTGTTTGAGCCAATTGGTTTAGGTTGTGAAGTTTTATTTAGTCAGTTACGACTGTGTAGAATGCATTCACCAACTACTTTGGTAGGTACACCTGTTCAAAACAAGCTGCTGAAGTTCAAACAATACTTCAGGACAGGAAAAACAGGTGACTTAAGTGAATGTGGTGCAGTTCTTAGTGCTGGACAGGCTGCTTCTAAGTATTTCAGAAATTGCTGATCTACACAGTCATCTCTTTACAGCGTTTACAGAGAATAATCTAGCAAAGAGAAACTACCCAGTAAGAGGCATGTTCTTTGAAGCCAGAGGTCAGAGGACAATGGCTGGACCGCTTTGAGTTTATATAAAGGCAACATACCTTCGTTGTAACTCATGACAGCCAAAGTCTGCAAAAGAGCATCTCTGAATGCACAACACGACAAATCATGAAGCAGATGGGCTACAAGAAGCAGAAGATCACACTGTGTCCCACTCCTACCAGCTAAAAACAGGAAACAGATGCTCCAATTCACACGAGCTCACCAAATTTGGACAATGGAAGATTGGAAAAATGTTGCCTGGTCTGATGAGTCTCAGTTTCTACTGTGAAATTGGATAGTGAGGTCAGAATTTGGGGTAAACAACATGAAAGCGTGCCTGGTATCAGTGTTCAGGCTGCTGCCTCTTAGTACCAGCTGAGCATCATTTCTACACCACAGCCTACCTGAATATTGTTGCTCCTATTAGGACCACAGTATGCCCCTCTGCTACTAGCAGGGTAACATGCCATGTCTAAAAGCTAGAATCACGTCAAACCAGTTTCTTAAGCATGACAATGAGTCCACTGTGCTCAAAAGACCTCCACAATCACCAGATCTTAATCCAGTAGAGCACCTTTGGGATGTGGCGGAACTGGAGTGTCACACCACGGGTGTGCAGCTTACAGATCTGCAGCAGCTGTGCAGTCACATCAACATGGACCAAAATATCTGAGGAATGTTTCCAGCACCTTGTTGAATCTTTGCTGTGACGAATTAAGGCGGCTCTGAAGGCAAAAGGGGTTTCAACCCAATACTACCAAGGTGTGCCTAATAAAGTGTCCTGTGAGTGTACGAAACCCTCTATCATGGCAGGTTTCACTCTTTCAGACATAGGTGCTACAAAGGGTGATACGAGTAGCTGTGCTAGGATTACAGTTTAACTGAAGGAGAACATTACTGTGCAGCACACCTGAAGCATCTTCATCACCACAGTCTGAACAGTCTGTTAAATAGCTCCGCTGCTGGATGCTGGAAAGCATCAAGAGACATATGGCTCAGAGATCCTCCCTCATTATTCTCTGCTGACCCACATAGAGATTGCTGGCGTCACAGCTTGTGCTGCCTCTGCTCGTACGATCCTGTGGCACAGGAGTCTTTTAAACAGAAGGGGAGTCGCGCAATTAATCACAGACGGCAGCGCTTCCCCTCTGTGTAACAACTGGAGGTCAGTCCTCCGCTGGGGCTCCCCGCACACCGGCTGGGTGGACGGGGACAGTAGGACACAAGCTGGGGCTGTAGACACTATATTAGATTGCACCATGTGACACTCCGGCACACCTCACGTCCTTGTCACATCCAGGTGTTGAGAAGTACTCTAATTACTGTATTTTTCCATCCTCCAGCTGGGCTGCTTTCCTCAAGACCTGGCTGCCCTTCGTCATGCTCAGCGGAGTCCTCGCCACCTTCATCCTCACGTTTAACCTACAGTAGTGCGGCGAGCAGTAGAACGAGCTGCCTCAGGCTTTTTGGTTATACTTTATACACAGTCATCGATGTGAGTGGTGCGTTCTGATGGAACGTTTGTTTGTGCACAAACTGAGTGACTGCCTCTTCATCTGTTGTGATGCATGTTCTAAGAGTATTAAAGGGCAAAGCTAAATGTTTTGTTTTTTTTTGGGGGGGGCAGTTGAAATGAACAATTTGTCCTTCAGTTATTGATATTTTGATTATTTCTCATTGGTTATTATGCTAGCAAGGCAAGCTACAGTGTCTGCATTTGTGTTTTTGCTTTATTTCCCCTTGTTAATATTATCATGAAGGAGACGACGTCCAGATTAGACCCCAGTAGAGTAATGCATTTCAGTTGCAGAGATGTATTTTTGATGAACGGCAGTGATGAATGTGTTTCCAGGCGGGCTAATATATATTTCAGTGACGAATCCATAGAAAACGGATTTCAAAATCTTCGAGCTGGAAGTATTCATCAATTATTTGTCTTAGAAATATGAGCAGCTAGACCAAAGATAGAATGATGGAAACCCGCATGTTAATAATTAGGGTATTGCGCTCCCTCGGATACATTTTCCTCCTTAATAAGACGCTTCTATGTTAAGTGACTTCTTTTTTGTTTGTTTTGGCTTTTTTGCAGTAAGATTTGTATGATTTCCTTTTGTGCATCCTCACACTTGATCCTGCCAAGTTATATGAGCAATATTTGATCACTTGTTTATGCATTATGTTATTTTATTGGATGTTTTTGGTACTTGAATAAGTATTATTTATTATTGTATGTCTGTAACCGTTTAATATTTCCATTTTTGTACCTGCATTTTGGATTTGCTGTGTGCAGAGCTCTTTTGTTGTCTCCCCTGGCAGACTGGGATAAAGGTGACCGGCTGTGGGTCGTCCTCTGTACCTTTAAGGGGACTGCGTTTTCATCCAGCAGACTCTGTGTGATATGAACTACCATCACTTTACGGGAACCTTTATTCCCACAGTGCAGCAGACGACGACTGAGCGAGCAGTCTTTGCCACCTCTGCAGTGTCCGATCACTTTTAGAGAACAAAGGATAACAGCTAAAGTTTGATTTATGAATACACGTCTGTAGTTTAAACTTTTTCAGCTGTTATTTAGAGATGTGTTTTTCTGCTGTTTTTGTGTTTTTGGGGATTCTTTTCTGCGCTCTGTGCCGCTGCTTGGAGTGTCCTTTTGGCTGTGAGTGTTTCGCTGTGATCCGCACGGTAAAATGTGTTTCTAAAGATCTGCTCACAGCACCAGAAAATATTCCAGGATATGCCAGGACCGTCATTATCACAGGGAATAATATACACCAAATTGGACCCAGTTCGTTTACGGAGCTGGAGAACGTCACTAACATCATTTTAACCAATAACAGGTGAGAATGTCAGTGTTTTTTATTTGTTTCTTTTTCAGTTTCAACCATGTATGTATTAAGCCGTATTTGAATAGTTTATTTCTTTATGTTTACACAATAAATAAATAAATAAAGATCTGTTTCTGTGAGTTTTTCTTTTTTTAACCTTGATAGTACAGTGAGGTTTCCCAGCATTTCTTGTTTCCAAGCAGGAGGATATAATCAGATGTCTAAAACCTGATGTTAAAGTGTTAGTCGTCTCCTCAGGTTAACAGAGATGGCGTCCCACACCTTCTCCTCCCTGGTCAACCTGCGCTTCCTGGACCTCAGTGGAAACCAGCTGGCACTCATCCATCCAGAGGCTCTCAGCATACCTGGTAGTCCCCTTCAGGAGCTCAACCTGAGCCAGTCACTCTACAACTTTACTGCCCTTACAGACCTGACCACAGCTCTGCGCTGGGGGGGCCTCGCGGGGCTCCTCCGCCTCGACCTCTCGGGGAACAAGCTTGCGCTGCTTCCCCCGGGCATGTTCTCTCACCTTCCCAATCTGCAGCAGCTTTTCCTCTCCAACAACTCTTTGGTGGCAGTCTACAGTGGGACCTTCTCTGGCATGAATTACCTGGAGATGCTTGACCTGACGCACAACACCTTCAGCACATTCGGAACCGATGCTCTGGTGGAGTTGGACAAGCTTGGGGACATCAGAATCCTGCTCGGTAACAACCCCTACACCTGCTCCTGCGAGATCAATGAGTTTGTCGCGTGGCTGAATAAATCGAGAGCTAAGGTTGATGTGGATGCTGTGAGATGTGCCTCACCTGGCGCATTAACTGACGCCCGCCTAAGAGGGCTCAGCATCCAGGATATCGGGTGTGTTGTTCCAGTCCTGGCAGAGGTCGCTGATCTCACCCTGCAGACCTCTTATGTCTTCCTGGGACTGGTTCTGGGGCTTGTTGGCATGGTTTTTCTCTTTGTGCTCTACCTGAATCGCAAAGGTATGAAGAAGTGGATCAATGAAATGAGAGACGCTTGTCGGGATGTCCTGGAGGGCTATTACTACCGGTACGAGATTGACTCGGACCCTCGGCTGGGGCACATTTCTGCAGACAGCAGAAGGGCACAAAGGCAGTTAGGAATATCTCTGCCCCAGCAGCTGCCCAGTGACACCTCCGTTGCCCCCACAAAAACACAAGTCAAACAGCTGACACCACCTCTAAACTTATGATAAACTAACTGATGATTTGACATATTATAGTGTAGCTGTAAATAGTTTTAGGAGGAAATTTGCAATTTTGTCTCGAGCATTCTGTACATATCGGAGTTATAACCTAGAAACCTAAAAAAAAGTGCCTTTGTGTTGTAGATACTCTAGATTCTTGTATATGTAAGTTAGTAAGTGTGTGTTTTTCTTCTAGATTTTTATAAGGACCTTACACATAGGCTACTTTGGAAATGGATGTTAGCTTTTTCAGTGTGCTTTCTTTACTTTTATATTAGCTGAAATATCTTTCCAGTAAGCAGAAGATAAAAAAAAAAATAAAAAAAATAAAAGATAAACAACCAATGAAAGGGAAGGTAGATCCAACCGACTGCGTCAGTAAAAAAAAAAAAAAAAAACCAAAAAAACTAAGCACCACAACAGCAGAAGAGCAGCAATAATAAGATGAGTAGTATTTGAATGAATATGTCTTGGTATGATATAAAAACCTGTGTTTACATTAATTAGAAATAAAAAGAAACGATGTAATTAATTTCTTGTGCTGTTTTATTGTAAGTGTAGTGAGGAAGGCACTGCTACACAGGCTCATGTATATCTCCATGTGAGATTGCCATACTATTTCAATTCAAAGAGTGGGTGATTAAGTGTTTCTATACAAGGAAAAAGTAGGGCAGAATGAATGATATCACCGGGAAACACACCTGCTGGCTCTGCAGCTGTGCACCTCTGTGTCCCTGCCAGAGCTCTCTACCCATTGTATGTGCACGTTAAAGAGGATTTATATAGAGAAATTAGAAAAGTGCACTGCTGCAATTTAAAACACAAAAATTCTCTGCTATCCTGCATCACATGGCTGTTTATCAGGGGTGTCAAGCACGCAGCCTAAAGGGCAGAACTGGCCACCAAGGGTCCACCGGACAGCTTTGGAAAATGTGAAAGCTGCAAAGACGCTCTCATTTGATTTATCCTTAAGAATGATCTGAATCATTTGCACTTTTACGGCCTTCTAGCCAACAAACACGTTGCCTACAATCTGCCCTACAACACCAAATAAAGAAAGTGATAGAAACACCGTCAAAAGATAGAAAATGATTTTTCCCCCCCATAACATTTCTACTTCATTAAATATCAGACAGGTATCTGTTTTCATTGTAGAAACCACTCACGTGAAGTTTTGCTGGGACTTTCTTTTATTTCTGCAAAATTCCCCCTGAATCTCTGCCTTAAGGCATTATAAACCTACACAGGCGTTTATGCTTTTATGTTTAGTCTTAAGCACATTCAGTTTGAGTAAAGCAGCATATATTAAATAAATAAACTTGCCTTTTATTTTTATTGTTTTAATTTTGTTCCCATATTCCTTTCTCCATTATACTTTTTATGGAGGCTAATGAAATATTCTTCATCAAGCTTCACTCGCTTTTTCTACTCACTATGTGTTTATACACCACTCTGCATTTAATCATTAGTTATTATGAATCTTTGGCTCTCCTCCACAGTGTGTCTGTTATCCTGTCTTCCTTCCCTCATCCCCAACTGGCCACCCTCCCTGAGCCTCATTCTTCCAGACGTTTCTTCCTGTTAAAAGGGAGTTTTTCCTTTCCACTTTCACCAAGTGCTTCCTCATACAGGAGTTTTCTGTCTATTATTCTAGGGTATTTACTTTAGAGTATAACGCACGTTATAAAATTTTACTGAATAATGATTTCTTGTTGTAATGAATGAACTTTAAACTGAGCTACATGTGTAATGTTCAAGCTTAAATAAAATGTAACTTTAAGAATATCAATTTCTTTTTCATACTGGGTCCGCAGTTTTTAAAAAAATGAATAATACGGTAAATAAAATAAAGAATAAAGAAGGAAAATCCAGAACAGGAAGTCCACCCGTCTTTCCTTCGTCCCGGTGCATGCTTGATACAGCACATGTGCATTCAGTGCTGCCATGTCAATCATGTT